TCCTTAAAAAGTCTTCGAGAATTTCTGAGCATCTTTTCTTCCAGAATACCCCCACAATGCCCTTAGCCACCACGTCACAGAGGGCCCAGAGAAATCATCTGCCCAATCTCGTTATGTCACAGAGAAAGAAACTGGTGTCCAGAGGGCAAAACAACTTGTCCCAAACCTCAGAGCAACTGGAACACAGCCAGGCCTAAAACCTAAGTTTTCTGACTCACCACCTCCCCACTTTCTACCAGACCACCTCACACAGGGTACACACGAAGCCAGAAGGCAGATGCGACACTCCAGCCTTACTCTCAAAGCCTCAAACCACCATGTCCTTGAGGGACATGCTCAGAAGCCTGCCCGGGAGCCTGCCCTGCTAAACCTAATGGCCACCTGGACAATACCACTGACTGCCCAGCTCTCACACGGCAGAGCATGAGCCCTCAGACCAGACAGCAGCCTTACCTCTCCTTTTGTGTGATCTTCAGTTTTTTTTCCAACCGTCTGTCTATTTCCTAGAGGAAAAAAATGTATATAAAAAGTGGAAAAAAATCTCTCTTAGATAAAAACTTATGTCTTTATTTTCAGAGCTAAGGATGGTGTCCTCTGACCAGGGACATTACTGTTTCCTTTGAGGTAACGGATGCAGACCTCCCTTTACTAGACTCTGGGGCTCGGGAACTGACTCCCTGAGGGTTCATCTCCCTCCATCCCCATGGCCACGGTGATACTTCTAGACCTCATCATGCAGCTGGGTTCTTTGTATAGCTTCCAACTAGTCTCCTAGCCTCCAATCTGTCCTTCACAGAGCCACTCAAATCAACTCTGTAAACACAAATCTGGTTGTTTCCCCATTAAAACCCCCTAGACCGCTTGTCAGATCAAGTCCAAGTTCCTAAGCACGCCTCACCCACACCTTCCTTTATCTTCTGTTCCTGTTTTACATCACTGTGAAACTGAGCTGTTACTAGCCCCCAGAACCCCGCACGCTGATCCACCTTCCCTTTGCCAACTTCCATTTCTCCTGCGACACCCAGCCTGATGTCTGCCTCTCCTTGGTAAAGTCTTCTCTGGTCCCGTACAGTTAATCACCTGCTTCTCAGACATAAGCTCTCCCTCTTCTACATTCCTTCATAATCACATGTATCACAAATGTATAGCCTTCCTCCCCCACCCCCCACCCCCCCGTATGGACTTGAACTCTGTGACTAGCACCTAGCCAAAGGCCCAGAACAAAACAGAAGTCTCACATCTGGGACACTGGACAGCAGTGAGCCCTCAGGGCCAGGAACTCTGATGCCTCCACGCCCTCACGCACAAGGGTCTGTACACTGGACAGGGGAGCTGTGCACAGAGCAAGCACCAAACCTTCAGGCCCCTTGGCTGTCCCACTGCTTTTTCTACAAACATCCCACTCAGCTGTCCTCAGTGAGGACAGCACCATTCAGCTACTGAAGAAGGAAAAAACCGTATGAAACAATTAGGTTCTCTCTCTGAAAAAAAGACTTATTATCAGAGTGGTTCTCAACCAGGAGTGGTTCTGCCCACCACAAGACAATTTAGCAATGTCTGGAGACGCATCCCCCCCACCACCAATACTAGAGGGGACGCACTACTGGCAGTGGGTAGAGTCCAGGATGCCATGCTGCTAAAATGGTACGATGCACAGAACAGCTCCCACAGCAAAAACCTGCCTAGCCCCAAATGTCAGTAGTGCTGAGGTGGAGAATCTTGACTTATAGGGTATGCAGGATTGTCAAAGCTGTTGTTAACTTGCAAAATGTTAAGAATCACTGCCTGAACTGCCAGTCAAGTCTCTGAAATGCACTGAGATCCACCCCAGGGCCCAGTGCGTAGCCAGTTTTCAGGAATGTTCCCCATGTCCTGAAAAGGGCTATATTCTACAGTTGATGGGTACGGTTCAAGCTAGTTAACTATAATGTTCAGAACTTCTAAATTCTTGCTGATTTGCTACATGTATCGACTCCGGAAAAAAAATCAAAGATTATCTTCTAGTAACTTGTCCCATTTGTTATTATGAAATGATCTTCTTTGCTTTAAAATCTATTATTTAAACTCATAAACAAGGAGAACAAACTGAGGGTTACGGGAGGGGGGATGGGCTAAATGGGTAAGGGGCACTAAGGAATCAATCTACTCCTGAAATCATAGTTGCACTATATGCTAACTAATTTGGATGTAAATTTTAAAAAATTATGGGGCGCCTGGGTGGCGCAGTCGGTTGAGCGTCCGACTTCAGCCAGGTCACGATCTCGCGGTCCGGGAGTTCGAGCCCCATGTCAGGCTCTGGGCTGATGGCTCAGAGCCTGGAGCCTGTTTCCGATTCTGTGTCTCCCTCTCTCTCTGCCCCTCCACCGTTCATGCTCTGTCTCTCTCTGTCACAAAAATAAATAAACGTTGAAAAAAAAAATTAAAAGTAAAATTAAAAATAAAAATAAAAGATACATTTTTAAAAAATCCATTATTTAACATTAATAAAGCCATGCCAAGTTTTCTTTTGGTTAGTATTCCCTGGAACGTTTCCCTATTTTCCTTCTCATCTTTCTGTGAAGCTGGACTAACCATACAAAGCCAGGTTTCAATCCAGTTTGACACTGACGTTCATTCTGATAGGTGCTGAGCTGTGTTTATATGTTTTTGTTTTTATGACATACCCCAAGTGTATTAAGGCAAGCACAACGGACTGCATTCTGAGGATCCCCTCAACTCCCTGGAGGGGCTAGGAAGCCACTAGATGGAAAACTCACTCAAGCTTAGAACCCAGGCTGGCACTCAACAACTCTAATGACTGAATGGAAAAGGGATGCGGAGACTGGGAGAACGGCCTGGATGTTTCCTGTGAACTAACAGACACGCAAAGAGAATCCACGCCCACAGCATAGTCTGTGTCAGAATTAATTGTTCTAATTCTTTTTTTTTTAATGAATACCAGTGTTATAACCTGAGTAGATACTATGTCTCACATTAGTCTGATGTCTATTACCATTTAAGGACTTTTCAAGGCCTTCTTCAAGTAACTCACAGTTTTAAAACTCCACAGTGTTATCATTTTGCTCCAATCTGAAAATAACACTTCCTACTCAAGTGTCTCCATCATAAATGCAAGGTTTAACATCTGTGGGATTTAGAGGCCTTCAGACAAGGTCAGAACCAAATGCCTCCACAGTCCAGGCAGCAGAGCCTTGGCTTACAGGGCCAGAGCAAGACCAAACTCAAGATTTTCATGGGAAAGCTCTACATTTTTAAACTTTATTACATGAACTCTCACTTTCATATTATGATGAGAGCCAAGTAAGTCATATAGGCAAAGGAGCCTAACACAGGAGTCTTTTTTTTTTTTTTTTTTTTTTTTTTTTTTTTAACTGTGGTAAAATGAATACACATTACTTTAGTTGAATCTGAGAGGTCCCATCCAGGAGACTCTCAGGAAAACAAACTGCTTCCTTTTTTTCCGTACGGCCTCCGGGAAGACAGAATCTGCCCATGCCCAGCAAATGGAGCCTGGGTAGAGAAAAACCCTTCAAGAGGGCATTATGTATGGACCATGTATGAGTAAATGGGCCTCTGTCCCCAAATTAGAATGTAACCAACATCCCTGGCATATAATATAAGCTACTGGCTTTAGAAATAATGACCTACGTCTGGGGCGCCTGGTTGGCTCAATCGGTTGGGCATCCGACTTCGGCTCAGATCACGATCTCACTATTTGTGAGTTTGAGCCCCGCCTGGGGCTCTGTGCGGACAGCTCGGAGCCTGGAGCCTGCTTCGGAGTCTGTGTCTCCCTCTCTCTCTGCCCCTCCCCTGCTCGTGCTCTGTCTCTGTCTCAAAAATAAATAAAAACATTAAAAAAAATTTAGAAATAATGACCTATGTCAATATAATACTTTAGGATTGTCAAGACGCTTCCCCCAAACACTCATTTCCGGTCACACATCCCTGGTTTGATGGACAAAAGAGCTTTTATCCTGTTCTGTCAGATGAAGGTGATGTGGCTCAGGGAGGTTAAGTTAACATACTCAATGTCACAAAGTAGTAAATCATAGAGGCAGCCCTCTATGGCCTTTTGGGGCCCTGCCTGATGCTGCTACAACCCCACAAGCACTTGAATCCCTGGAGATGGTAAAGCCATTGGATGCTGGTCTTCTCTTCCTCATCTCCCCTGAATTCCACACTGCTCTCCGGCGCTCCAATAACTAACACTCCCTTCAAGCTCCATCACATCAGGCAGGATGGCTTATCAGAGCTGAGGACGAATTCTTCCATCGGATTAGAGAATGGAATATAAATCCCAACAGCTTCGGTAGAAAGCTGATCCTGACTATGTCCAGATGGCCAGCTGGACACCAGTGTGCCCAGAGCTGGCCCCGCTAAGAGGGAGTGCCCTGCCTGCAAACGGAGAGGGCACTGCAACTCCCTCTGGAGTCTATCCAGGTATCATGAGTCAGTCCATTCTCTTTTTGGACAAGGCCTTGCAAGGGATCTGCTCTCAGTCTCGTGCTCTGAAGAGCTGCACCAAGCCAAAACTTTCCTACCGGGTGCGCTGCAAGGAGAATGCTTGTCTTCTCCAAAGATGCAACAGCCCGGTGGAATTCAAAGGCCCCAGGATGCTGTGTGAGGAAGCATCTGGATGTGGACCCAACAAGAAACCTTATCGCCTAAGGGCACCTTCTCTTTTCATGAGGATGAACAGAACTCTGGCCCAAAGTCAAGGCTTCTGTGTTAGAGGCTCAACCTCTACAGGTAGTGAAAGAAACCCATACATAAGCTCATCACTCTATGACTTCTCGGAGCCATGAGGGGTCACCAGGACACAAGGCAAGTGTTAGAGCATAAGCATATCAGAGGTAAGGTGCTAAGAAAAGCTTGATTTCCCATGACTTTTCCTGGCTATTTTTTGCCAAGTAGCACTGAGTAGACTCCAGAAGACAATGTGCTGTGTTCTGATGGTGGGGCGGGGGGTGGTAAGGGGTCTCCTCTTTGGGTCAAAATCCTAAGCAAAAGGTCTGCTGTTGCAGGGGCACCTGGATGGCTCAGTCGGTTAAGTGCCTGACTCTTGATCTCGGCTCATGACCATGAGGTCACGATCTCACGGTTTGTGGGATTGAGCCCTGCGTCGGACTCTGTGCCGGCAGCATGAAACTTGCTTGGGATTCTCTCTCCCTCTCTCAAAATAAATAAATGTAAAAAGACAAACAAAAAACAAAAATGGTTTGCTATTACTAAACACAGGTATCACTTGCCCTGTGGGGCTACATCTCTACAAAAATGAGGTAAACCCTTCTTGGTCCGAGAGAACAAGCAAAACCAGAAGGAAAGGAGTGGAGGCAGGAGGTCGTGAAGAACCACAGTGGGGAGCAAGGTAGTTGTGGACAGCACTGGTCCTTTGTGGGAGGCAAAGGAGAGGCCACGGCCACAGGTGAATGAATCAGACACAACACCTGCAAATTCGACTCACCTGAGGGAAAAAGCACAGCCTCAATGGCTGCTGATGCCCTTAACCTTGGAACGCTTACACTTGTGAGCCCCCTCACCCCCAGAAAGCTGGGGAACAGAGGCATATGAAGGGAAGAGCAGAGAAGGGACACCTCAGCCTAATCTGTTACGCAGCCACCTCTTTCAAAAGGAACAAAGGAGACACCAGGATAGGGATGAATGTGCAAGGGGAGGCAGGTTACAATGACAGATTCACTGCTGTGGCACTAAGAGGGGAATGAGAAAGGAAAAAAAAGAAAGGTGAGAAGGGGAGCGAAGTGGAAGAAAGGCAAAGGAGAGAAATAAACAGGCTACTCTGGGCCTTGGGGCAAATTACAGCAAGTTCAAGTTCATCATCATCACAGCCATACTCTCAGACCTGAATATTCAAGAAACAGACTTTATCAGTTTACCTAGGGGTGACGGATGAAGCCCTGGGGGACTGATTCAAACTAGCCAAACTTGGGGTGCTTGGGTGGCTCAGTGGGTTGAATGTCTGTTGATTTTTGCTCAGGTCATGATCCCAGGGTCATGAGAGCCAGCTCCACAACGGGCTCTGTGCTTAAGATTCTCTCTCTCTCCGGGCACCTGGGTGGCTCAGTCAGCTAAGTATCCAACTTGGGTCAGGCCATGATCTCATGGTTTTTGGGTCTGAACTCCACATCAGGCTCACTGCTTTCAGTGCAGAGCCCGCTATGGATCCTTTGCACCTCTCTACCCCTCCCCCGCTTGAGCGCACACTCTCCCCAAAATAAATGAAAACAAACTAGCCAAACTCACAATAGACAGCAAACAAACCCAAATCCTCTGCTACACTGTGCCCCGCCCTTTCTGGTGCCTGACCTGCTGCTGTCCACTCCCAGCCTCCCCCCAACTCAGTGCCAAAGACGCTGATTATCCTGCTCCTCTACCGCACCCCCTCCTCTGATAACCAGAATCCTTGCTCACCAGTGCGACGAACACAACTTCTAAGAATTCAAGAAACCTTGTATTAAATGGAGGTTCCTGGCCCTGAGTTAGGAAATAACCTCTTTTTATCACCCAAAGTTACTATTTAAGTGACTTTTCTCAGATGATTTGCTTCTCTTTGTCAGTTTCCATTTCAGAAGATGACATTTTCTGATTTTCTCCTCAGGCTCTCTGTGAACCACTGTGTCCCACAGGCTTGTCTGGTCGTGTCCCGCTATCCCACGTTGGGGAGCACACGTCCACAGACACTGGGGGAAATCTAAGAAGAGACTGAGCCCTGGGTACAGGGTTTCTCTCAGAACTGGAGCCTGACAGATCCTGACGAACATAATGACACCGTTTCAGCAAAACGCAGAGAAGATGCTGGGAAGAAGGCAGGCCTCGTTCCAACATGTGTGGCCCTGAACTCCCAGCACGGACGACAGTGCCAGGCTGGGCCTGGTCTCCGGAAGTCTTGGGCAGGACCTCAGCACCCACTCCCCTGGCTACAGGGCCTTCTGTGTCCCCAGCAAGGCACCTGTGTCTCCCAGATCACGCATCTCGATGGGACTCTGCCTATTCCTGGGAGAGCCTCAATTTCACTTAGGAGGGAAGCACAAGAATTCACAGTTAGAGACACCAAAATCTGGTTTAACACTATCAGATAAAACGGGGTGTACTTTTGGAGCACACCGCTGGCCATTTCAAGTCCAGGTGTGCGATCCACACACTTTTCCAAACCACCTTCACACCAACTCTGTTAACTCTCTGTTTCAGCCCCTGCCTTGTTTCTCTACGTCAGTGCTGTGGCAGTGGACAGTGCTTCATCTACTGACCCTGGCTAACCCAGGGAGAGAAGCCCCCAATGTCTTACCACTCCAGGTTTGATTCTACAGCGATGTTTCATTCAGGAACACAGTCAGGTTCAAAACACTAACTCAACTCCTGGGCAAACATGATTGATTAAGTCAAAAAAAAAAAAGCTTTTTGCTGGTTGGCTCAGCCAGTGGGGCATGTGACTCTTATCTTGGGGTTGTGGGTTTGAGCCTCAAGTTGGGTGCAGAGATTACTTAAAAGTAAAATCTTGAGAAAAAAAGTAAAATCTTGAAAAAGGCAGAGTTCAGAAGTTGAGAGACAAGACACCCGGGCCATGACTTCATCAGTTGCCCCTTTTTAATACAGACAGGTTAGTCTGTTTGAAGGAACACAGAACACTCCTCCCTTCTCTGCTACTCCCACAGCAAGGAAAACATTCCACATTAAATGGGTCACTGTGGGGGCACAGGATAGTTTTAAAATTCCCTCCCTAAGGAAGTCTACACTTTGTTAATGTATCTCAAAAGCCATTGTCCTTTTGCTTCACTGTGACAAAAAAAAGAAAAAGAAAAGAAAAAGAAAGAGAAAAAAGTTGGAGGCAAGCATTTTGTGGCAAATTGACTGTAAGGTAGGAGACGTGCCAGATGCTGGATGCCCAGAGATAAGGCACCCTCTGCTGAAGAGGAGAGCCCAGCCACGAGGGAGAAGACTGGTAAGGAACCACAGTCGCTGTGGTAGCAGTACGGACAGCACTGTGGAGAGAGAAATGGGGAGGTGGGGAACCTGTTAGGAGTCAGAGAAAATGGCAGAGACCTAAAGGACAGACTTTCAAGAAAAAGAGAGAGGCATAGAAACACTGGGGAGAAGGAGGATGAAAACATGAATAGAGGGAAAGGAAAATGGGGGAAAAAAGGGACCCCAAATAAGAGATAACTTCAACTGAAATCCATTGGATATTACTTGAGCTGCATTCAGCAAAGGTCTTTATTAGCTGGTATCCATGCAACTTGCAAAGCTGCTGCAGAAAGCCAGCTACACTTTCCAGGACCAGCAAGGTACAAATTTGAAGAAACCAGGGGCTCCAGAAAACCATGAAGGGCTTGGGGGTTGGGGAGGATATGCTGCAGAGACAAAACAATTCTCACTTGCTTGGAAGGGAAGCCACTTCCCACTTTCCTTCCCAAGTTCTCAAGGCTTTCAGGAGCTCTCTGCACCTGCCCAGGAAGAGGAAATCCTTTGGGCACATTTTCCAGCCACGCCACCCGGTCCAGTGGCCACTGCCACACGTGGCTGGTGAGCACTTCACACGTGGTCAGTCTCAACTGAGATGTGCTGTAAATGCTGAATGCACAGCAGACTTCCCAGACTTATGACAAAAAAAAAAAAAAAGTGTAAAACAGCTCATTAACATATTTTCAATACTGATTATGTGCTGACCGTGATACTATTTGGGGTATGCTGCATTCCATTTAAAATATTCAGGGGTGCCTGGGTGGCTCAGTTGGTTGAGCATCCGACTTCAGGTCATGAACTTGCAGTTTCTGGGTTCGAGCACCAGGTTGGGCTCTGTGTCTCCCTCTCTCTCTGCCCCTCCCCTGCTCGTGCTCTGTCTCTCTCTCTCTCTCTCTCAGAAATAAAATAAACATTAAAATTTTTTTAATTTAAATATTCAAATTACTGAATTTGAGCCAGAGTGCCTGGCTGACTTAGTTGGTAGAGCATGCGACTCTTGATCTCAGGGTTGTGAGTTCAAGACCTATGCTGGGTGTATAGAGATTACTTAAATAAATAAAACTTAAAAAAATATTAAAGTCCATTCCATCTGTTTCCTTATACTTTTTAAATGTGGCCTGGGGAAGTTTTAAATCACACGCATGGCTAACATGGTACTTCACTTAGACAACACTGCTTGAGATACAATCTTAGAATAAGATGTATCTGTTATACATTTAATATTTCAGCAACCAGCTGGGGCGCCTGGGTGGCTCAGTCCATTGAGCGTCAACTGGCTCGGAAGGATCTCGCAGTTTGTGAGTTCGAGTCCCGGGTCGGGCTCTGTGCTGACAGCTCAGAGCCTGCAGCCTGCTTCGGATTCTGTGTCTCCCTCTCTGCCCCTTCCCTGCTCATGCTCTGTCTCTCTGTCTCTCAAAAATGAATAAACGTTTAAAAAAAAAATAACCCAACTAACTTGAGCAGGCACCTTGGACAGAGGAGCAGAGGGCATGCAATGGTTACTGATGTGCATATCCTACTGTGGCGGGTCCTGTCATTTTGGTGTGCCAGCAACCAGCACTCGCCCAGTGTAGCAGACAGCCCAGGCCCTGCTCTAAGTGACACTCACAACTTCATCCATCTTGCTCTCTACACACCCCCCCCCGTCCTGCTGAAACTTGCCACCGGAGTCACCAATGACCTCAACGGTCAATTCCACACCTTCACTTCACTCAGCCTCTCAGCAGTGTCCAACACTGCTCGCTGCTCCCTCCTCAGAGTACTGTCCATCCCAGCCTGCCGGTCCCCTCCCAGCTCCCTGGTAGCTCCTCTCATGCCCACAGTTAACGTCCCCTGTACAGGACAGGCTCCTCTTCCTCTCCAGGGCCCCGAGGTTGGAGAGTCTGAGTCTGCACCTCCCCTCCTCTGTGACTCCGCTCGCTGATTTGGCGATGTCATCTGGTTCCACGGCCTTCCACACATCAGTGGGTGTGCGGCTGCCGACTCACCACCCCCACTCTGATTTCACAAGGGACCCAAACTCCCCAGGCCCCAAACCAAACTCTTGACTTCATTCACTCACCCAACCCTGCTCCTCCCACACACACTCCCTCTCCTCACCCCGCTTCAGAAATCCCAGCCTTCCGGCAGCTCTGATGTCTTTCATCCCCCAAGTCGGTTCTACCTGCAAAACAGATCCCGAATTTCCTCAACGCTTCTGCTACTGTGACCTCCCTGGTCCAAATTACCACAGCCCTCGAAAGGACAGCTGAAATGGCATCTTCAGTCTGTGTTCCCACTCTTGCCCTTACAGTTTACTTTACACGTAACAACCAGAATGAATAATCCTTTTGAAAACCAAGTCAGCCTCTGCTCAAAACCCTCACATGGCTTCCTATTTCAAGGTAATACCCACCACAGCCTACTAGCCTCTACGGGATCCGGCTCCCTGCTACCTCTGGGCCACGCTGTTCCTCAAATAAAACAAGCATGCTCCAGCCTCAGGACCTTTGCACTTGCCGTTCCCTCTACCTGGAATGCATTTCCACCAGCTTCTTCTGCACACTTGCTTTCTCACTCCCTTCAGGTCTCTCTGCCTATCTTTACTGAGGCCTTCTCTGACCTTCCTCCCCCTGCACTCCCCACACACAATGGCACCTCTGCCAGTCACTTTCTACATTCTTTATCTCTCTTATTTTTCTTCATTGGGTGTGTATATAAAACATTATTGTTTATTGTCCATTTTTCTCCACTAGAAAGCAAGTTTTAGGAGAAGAAAGTTCTTTCACTACAGTTGTCCATAGCTCCTAAAACAGCACCCAACACATGAATTATGAACCATCCTGTGAAACAGGGATTTTAGAGATATAGTCCCATTTTGGGGTGCCTGGGTGGCTCAGTAGTCAGTTAAGCGTCTGGTTTCAGCTCAGGTCATGATCTTGCGGTTAGTGAGTTCGAGCCCCGCATCAGGCTCTGTGGTCTCAGCTTGGAGCCTGCTTTGGATCCTCTGTCCCCCTCTCTCTTCCCCTCCCTTGCTTGCACCCCCTCTTTCAAAAGTAAACATTAAAAGAGGGGCGCCTGGGTGGCTCAGTCGGTTAAGTGTCCGACTTCAGGTCATGATCTCACGGTGAGTTCGAGCCCCACGTCAGGCTCTGTGCTGACAGCTCAGAGACTGGAGCCTGCTTCAAATCCTGTGTCTCCCTCTCTCTCTGCCCCTCCCCCACTTGTTCTCTGTCTCAAAAATAAGTAAAATGTTAAAAAAAATTTGTTTAAAAACATTAAAAGAGAGAGAAAGATGGCCGCATTTTACAAATGATTTAGAAACCAATTCTGAGAGGTTATGTACTTTGACCACGGTTCCACAACAGTACGGAGGGGCGCCAGAATCTGAACTGGGTCTCTCTGGGTCTGAACACAGCAACACTACCTGTGTTCCCAGCAAGAGCTGAGGCTGTCACACGCATTTGTCAGCAGTAGTGGTGGTGGCAGCACACTCCAAGCACCTGCTGCAGGTGTGTGTAAGGAAGTCTCTGGCCCTCCCTTCACCACCTCACCCTCACCATAATCCATGGGACATACAACAGCCGTGCTGCATGCTCAGTGGTTAAATGACTTGCCTAAGGCCACTCGACTTGTAAGTGACAAAAAATCCTAAACCTCAAGAGGAGGAAGCAAAAACGTTCAGGAGTGGCTAGCGGGTGGCCACAGGAACTACGAAGGTAGGATAAAGGCAGACAGGGAATACCACCCTGCCTGCTCTGCACCCCAGGCCAGGCCAGTGCAAGCTGAGGGGTTCTACGGAAGGGCTACAGCAGTGGCAGACCACAACAAAGTCCAGACCTTAAGTCTGCGAAGAAGTCCCCTAAAGGAAACAATTCTTCAGTACAGAACGAGTCTGGTGATATAGACGTATCCCAGGATGGAGGGCCTCAGAAACTGAGAACTGCAATCTTGAGACGCTGTTTCCTTCTGCTTCCAGTGCCTCTTCAAAGAGTCTCCATGCGGGAGGGAATCCATACAACCCTTTAGCTTAAAAGCGCAGAACGGGCAGGAGGGGGAGTAGGGTGGCGAGCCCTGTCCCTGGAATAAAATAATGGGTAGAATCTAACGGGGCTCCCCTTTCTCTACGCTTGTTATTGCCTTTCCCTTACAATTCAAAGAAAACTGTGTATTAGTTCTCAGGGGGAGCAAGAAAGAGACCTCTCAGCCAGTCTTAGGAACCTGCCACTCTAACCAGGCAGAGACTCTACTGGAATGGCTGGGGAATGCCCTCACGCTCACGACCACCCTACTCGCTACTCCAACATCCGCCTGTGTGCTCCATTTAACCCTCACTGCCAGGCAAGGGGGATTTTATTAGCCCTAGGTGACAAAAGAGGAAAAGGAAGTTGAGAGAAAGGTAGGCAGTGATCTGCCCAAAACCAGACCTGGCACCTCAAGAGTCAGCCTAGCCTTCGGACTTCTGTTACTGCCATGGACGGAGGAAATGGGTCACTAACTGGCAGAAGTGACCTGCTCTTTCCTCCTTTTATAAAGACAGCAAGGCTCCTCTCCCAGGAGGAAATACAATGCATTTGGACACTGGGGGATGGAACAAAGTCATTCTTACCTCCTCCCTACACCACCAGGAAGTTTCATCCAAAGGCCCAAGGGCCCTGTCATCAAAGGCTACTTAGAATCATGGCACTAAGCAGGGGCAGCAAACACAATGCCTCCAGGTCGAGCCAATGAAGTAAGCAGGAAGCATCACAACAGGTCGCACAATACATAAAGTGGGGACTACAGAGGACAGGAGAACAACCAAGGCCCAGGGAAAAGCATTCAAATTCAATATATAAACGAAGCGTGCACCCCGCGAAAGTACATAGGCTGAATACCCAAGAGCCGCCAGTCTGCAACTACAGATACAGGGATCCTTAAGATAGCAAGCAGAGTAGTTAAATCTTCTCAAGAGATCTGAGCAAAAGATATTTATATTATCTCTTTTCACTTGGCCAGATGTTATTTCCCAATTATGATCAAGATTTCAACGAGCATGTCATTTGCAGTCACTGTTTTTAGTGTTACATCGACAGCAGGGGTGCCTGCCTGGCTCAGTCAGTGGAGCATGAGCCTCTTAATCTTGGGGTCAGGAGTTTGAGACCCACATTGGGTGTGGAGGCTACTCAGAATTTTAGGGGCACCTGGGTGGCTCAGTCGGCTGAACGTCTGACTTCAGCTCAGGTCATGATGTCGTGGCTTGTGGGTTCAAGCCCCGCATTGGGCTCGATCCTGTCGACACACAGCCTGCTTTGGATCTCCTGTCCCACCCCTTCTCTCTGCCCCTTACCCGCTTGCACTCTCTCAAAAATAAATAAATCTTTAAAAATAAAATTAAAGTTAAAAAAGTTTTGTTTTGTTTTGTTTTAAATTTAAAACAACAACTGACAGCAACTGTGTCCTTTTGGCTCTTGGGAACCAAATTCAAGTTTCTCAGAGACAGGAAATTTATCAACTCATCATCAGACTACAGAGGCAGAAGGTCAATCCCAGGTGAAACAAATAACAATACTTCAAAGGAACGAGCAACCAAACATCCTAAAGCAGTTAACTGGTTAATTATCTGCTGAAACGCAAAGGTAAACAAACAGTCCAAAAAGGTCCCTAAGAGTGTGGGCTCAGGATGCCAGTAGCTGAGCTGAGACCGACCAAGTGACTTCCTCTCCCGGACACTAGGAATAAGAACACCTACGCATCACCAGGTCACGGAGACTGACTGGGGCAATGAATGTGAAAATGCGCTCCGCAAAGCCTGTAGTGAGCCCTTAAGACGCTATCTAAGAAGTCCTTCCAAAAGGGGCCAGCGGGATTGGGGAGTCTGTGTGGGCTTACGGGCAGAGCCCACTCACCAGTGAGATGTGCAACTGGGTGGCAAAAACAGCACTGAGAGCTGGAGGGTCACAAATGCTCGTATTGGGCCAAGAATATGCCAAATGCCAGAGCATAAGGGCTGGGAATTTGGCTCTCAAGGTCCAGGGAGAGTGAGGACAACCTTGACCTCTCCAGACTCGAGTTCGAACAGTCTAAGGATCACAACCCTGAAGAATGCAATTTCAACCGTACATATTATTCCTTTTAGGAAGGAATGACTGTAATTTCCTGTGTTCATTTTATAAGAGAAAGAGTTTTGGGTGCAGGGAGGGGATGACTTACTGGGAGGGACATCTTGAAATGTTTTAACCTCAGGGATAAGATTTTTTATCTACATAAAGACTGAGGTCAGGATTTGTTGCTAATTTCTGCGGTGGTGGGTTTTCACCTGTCTTCCCATCAAACATCCTGCATGGAGCTCAACGTTACAGAGAAGGATGCTTGGTAGAGGCTACCAGTTAAAAACCCTTCAGCAAGAGAAATCTCTATGGTTACTACTTCACACACACACACACACACACACACACACACACACA